ACTACTACTACTACTACTACTGGTGTTGATTCGGCTTTTTGTTCTTGATTCGACGGCTTGTTGTATCCTTGTGGTGGTAGTTGAGGGGCACCCACATTCTGAAACGTAGCCAGCCGCTACTCTCACATTGATGGAAAGCCTGATGCAGCTTCAACAATATGCCAACACCAAATCCGCAAGCTTAGAGCTTGGGGGTTCAGGGCTTCATGTTTAGGGTACCTACAACTCCCAACTAACTCTCCAGTCCTGGTGCAATATAATCTAGTCAGAGAGAGATGGAGGATTCCTTCACGACAGCAAGTACATGTGAAACTGTACTTCCTTCTGAATCCTAAACCGTAGCAGGAAATCGTAGAGCGTGGCCTCCGGCGACCGCCGTCGACGTGGAGAGCAAGACTCGGCATCGTACCTTCGGCTTGGAGTTGGAAGTTTGGGGTTTAGGGCGTGGTGTCGGTTGTTTTAATCTTACTGTTATTATTGCTTTGGTCGTGTTCTTGGTTCATCTTCTTGTTTATTCGTGGGGCTGTTGTTCGTGTTGCCGTGGTTGGTGGTTATGGTGAAGCTTTCAGAGTCTTACAGTTTAAGACTACATACATATCCCACAGAGCCCTTGCACAAGCCATCTGACTTCTCAGGAGTCCGAGTTTACGTCTAAAGCCTGAGCCCCAAAATATAGAAACAGCCCTCTAGGTCCTACAACCTACACCTTTCCATTGTCGAAATCCAAAGGGCTCGGAACCTTTGAGAATCGTTCAGGATGTAGGGTTTAGGATTTATTGCTTGGTCGAGGATGTTAATTAAGGTTTTGGAGAAGGGCAGGATTTTGGGGGTGGGGGAACCTCAAGGGTCTACACAGGGCTTTCAGGGCTACTGGATTTGGGATTGTTTGGTGTCGTAGGCTGCAGAAATTCTTGTGTTATGTAGGGGACATGGAAGGGGGATCTAGAACTGTATACGGATGAGTACTTAAGTCTACAAGGACTGTTACTTCTAGAACTGCGGTGGCTTGACGCTCAACACGTGCTACATCTACTTGCCCCTTAGATAGCCAAAGGCAAAACTTGAAACTTGCAGGCCTCGTGTATATATATATATATATATGTATGTGTATGTATGGGTTAGGGTTTAGGGTTTAGGGTTTAAGGTTTAGGGTTTAGGGTTTAGGGTTCAGGGCCTGCTTTTTGACTGAAATCCTAACTTGTTGCAGAGGAAAACTAAGTCAGGAGGTTATTGTTTGGGCCACGGGTCAGCTCTAAGCCCTAAGCCCTAAACCCTAAACCCTAAACCCTAAACCCTAAACCCTAAACCCTAAACCCTACTTCTGGGACCCTCAATCTGCCCGATCTAGGCCATCGGCGCCGAAGCCTGAGCCGTAGTCCAAACCGCAAGGTTAGGGTTTAGGCTTTAGGCTTTAGGCTTTAGGGTTTAGGGTTTAGGGTTTAGTGTTTAGGGTTTAGGGTTTAGGGTTTAGGGTTTAGGGTTTAGGGTTTAGGGCTAAGACCTAAATCTTACCTACATGATAAGCAGCACTACAGCCCGAATCCGGCGCAGCCAAGAGTCTTGAATGCTACACACTGAAACTCTGGGGGCTTAAATGCAAAGTTCTCAACCCAAAGCCCCGATGCCTAAACCCTAAACCCTAAACCCTAAACCCTAAACCCTAAACCACCCAAACGCATGTCTGCAGGTTCTGTCTTCCGCGACGACCGGACTGAAAGGCGGACAGCTCTTGGGTCTACCCTTGTCCTAAACACCTAAACCCTAAACC